TTAATATTTTTAATTTTAAAACAAACTTTTAAAAAATATTAGGAATGTCCCTTTTTCTCCCCATTGACTTATTCATCTCAACCACAACCCACCCTTCCCTTACCACACCATTGTCTGTGTCCTTGGGTTATAAATATATGTGTATAAATTCTTTGGTTAATCTCTCCCCCTCCACCCACCCACCCCAATTCTCTCTTCTAAGATTTGTCAGTCTTATCAATGCTTCCATGTCATTGAATCTATTCTATCAGTTTATTAAGTTCTTTAGATTCCACATATAAGTGAGATCATGTGATGTTTGTCTTTCTCTGTTTGGCTTATCTCACTTAGCATAATATTCTTCAGGTCCATCCATACTGTTCCAAAGGGTATGAGATTTTTCTCCTTTACAGCTGCATAGTATTCCATGGTGTAAATGTCCCACAGCTTTTTTATCCACTCATTTACCGATGGGCACATGGGCTGTTTCCAGATCTCAGGTTTTGTAAATTGCTCTGCTATGAATATAGGGGTGCATATATTTTTTCTGAGTAGTGTTTCAGGATTCTTAGAATATATTTTTAAAAGTGCAATCACTGGGTCAAAAGGCAGCTCTATTTTCAATTTTTTGAGGGATCTTCATATTGTTTTCCATAGTGGCTGCACCAGTCTGTATTCCAACCCATAGTTCCAGGGTTCCCCTATCTCTGCATCCTTGCCAGCATGTGTCATTTGTTGATTTGTTGATGGCAGCCATTCTTACAGGTGTGGAATGATATCTCATTGTGGCTTTAATCTGCATCTCTCTGATGATTAGTGACATTGAGTGTCTATTCATGTTTCTTGGCCATCTGTATGTCCTCTTTGGAGAAGTGTTTATTCAGATCCTTTGGCCGTTTTTAAATTGGGTTGCTTGTCTTCCTCTTGCTGAGTTGTATGAGTTCTTTATAAACTTTGGAAATTAGCTCTTATCAGATACATCCTTGGAAAACATGTTCTCCCAAACCATGGGATTCCTTTAATTTTGAGACCGATTTCTTTGTCTGTGCAGTAGCTTTTTACTTAGATGTAGTAAAAGTACTACATACGTTTGTTTTTCTTTGTTTCTCTTGTGCTAGGAGATGTATCAGTGAAAACTTCCTGGCCTGAGACATTTGTGACTTTACTGCCTATGTTTTCTTCCAAGATTTTAATGGTTTCACAACTTACATTTTAGTCTTATTCATTTTGAGTTTATTTTTGTATATGGTGTAAGTTGGAGGTATAGTATCATTTTTTTTTTTTTTTTTGCATATGGCTGTCCAATTTTCCCAGCACCATTTATTGAAGAGACTGTCTTTATTCCATTGTATGCTCTTGCCTCCATTGTCAAACATTAACTGACCATAATGTCATGGGCCTATTTCTAGGGTCTCTGTTCTGTTTCATTATCTTCATATCTGTTGTTGTACCAATACCAGGCTCTTTTTATTAAATGGCTTTGTAGCTTGATATCCAGAAAAGTGATCCCTCAAACTGTTTTTCTTTTCTTCATTGCTGCAGCTTTTTGGGGTCTTTTTGGTTACATATAAATTTTTGGAATACTGGTTCCAACTCTGTGAAATATGGTGTTGGTATTTTAATAGGAATTGTATTGAATCTATAAATTGCTTTGGGTAATATGGACATGTTAATGATATTAATTCTTATAATCCATGAGCATGGTATATTCATCTACTTGTTTATATCTTCCCCTCTCTTTTCAATACTCTGTAGTTTGCCAAGTACAGGTTTTTACCTCCTTGGTTAAGTTTATTTTCAGGTGTCTTATTTTTTAGTTGGAATTGTAAATGGTATTGCTTTTTTAGTTTTTCTTTCTGAGAGTTCATTGTTGGTGTTTAAAAATTCCATCAATTTTTAGATTAATTTTATATCCAGCTACCTTGCTGAATTCATTTATCAAATCTAGTAGTACTTTGGTGGACTCTTTAGGGTTTTCTATGTATAATACCATGTCATCTGCAAATAGCAACAGTTTTATTTCCTCCTTTTCAATTTGGATACATTTAATGTTTTCTTCCTGTCTGATGACTGTGGCAAAGGCTTCCAGTACTATGTTGAATAAGAGTGGTGAAAGTGGACATTCCTGGACTTTGTTTCTGTTTATAAGGGAAATGTTTTTAGTTTTTGATCACTGAGTATGATGTTGGCTGTAGGTTTATCATATATGGCCTTTATTATGTTGAGGTATGATCCCTCTATTCCCACTTTGCTGAGAGATTTATCAGAAATGGGTGCTGGATTTTGTCAAATGCTTTTCTACATCTATTGATACGATCATGTGATTTTTGTCCTTCATTTTTTTATGTGGTGTATCACACTTAATGATTTGCAAATATTAGACCAGTCCTGCATCCCTGGAATAAATCCCACTTGCTAGTCCTGCATGATCTCTTTAATGTATTGTTGAACCTGGTTTGCTTCTATTTTGTTGAGGATTTTAGCATCTATGTTCATCAGGGATACTGGCCTGTGATTTTGTTTTTTAGTAGTGCCTTTATCTGGTTTGGGATTAGGATGATACTGTCCTCATAAAAAGAGTTTTCCCTTCTCTTCAATGTTCTGGAATAGTTTGACAAGAATAGGTGGTAATTCTTCTTTGAACATTAGGAAAAACTCGCTGTAAATCTATCTGGTCCAGGGCTTTTGTTTGCTGTTAATTTTTTGATTATGGCTTCAATTTCATTATTTTTTATTGGCCTATTCATATTCTTTGCCTCTTTCTGATTCAGCTTTGGAAGATTGTATGTTTATGGGAA